CAACAGGTTTTACATGTGCTCTATAAATAAATAAATATTGAGATTGAACCCTCAACAAAAACACACCCGTTTGCAATGCGGGGTCAAAGATAGTGGAACGAGCTCCACGTTGACATCAGGACAGCAGAGAGTCTAACCGTCTTCAGCAGACTGAAAACCAAGCTGTTGCAACTGCACTTTGGTCCTTCAAATACAAACTAAATCCTTCTAATTTCTGTATCTAGTACTTCAAAAGGTTTAGCTATCATTTAAGGTAATGTAAGGCTCTGTTTAATAAAAGGTTATGTTGCGTAATGGCGTCTGCCTGATGGTTGGTTCCAGTTGATCTCAAACATGTTGGAGAGCGCTGAGGTGCGAAAACAAGTGAAGTTCTTCGGCACCAAACAGAAAAACTATTTATTTTTGGAGTTGGCTTTGTGCAAAAACTCCCATAACGTTTTAAGTAGATAATATGATGTCATCCTGCAGCTTTAAGATTTCCTTAAGTGAGAATAAACGGACAGATTGATGTCAAACCAAAAGAAGATCTGAACTATGAACGTCCAAATATATCCAGATCTGAACGTAGAGGAGGGGTCGCTGTCTGAGACACTCTTCATTCATCCTGATCTCCTCTCTGATTGGACGGCAGGATGTTCAGCAGGTGTCGTGTTGTTGACTCTGATCAGATTAAAAGACATTAGGGCGACATTAAACCCGACTAAACCCTGACTGCAGTCTGGAGACACTCTTTGAAGTCTAATCAGCCTCATGTTGTTTCCACATTACCGACGAAAGCTCATGAACACATCGAGGCCCGAAGAACGACTCCCACAATCTGGAAATGGGAATATCGGAGGAGCAGGAAAAGGATCATCGTCTGAGTGCCAGTCTCAGTATAATTAAATCAGTTAGTTTTAAACCACAACAACGTTTAATGACCTATTTCAGACATTCAGAAATGTTAAATATTGTCTTCAATCAATCTGCCATTTCGTTTGTGTTTGAATGATCCAAGAACTAGTTTTGTTTCCAAGTTCCAATCACGCAGAAGGAGGTTCAATGCCAACAAGAAACTATATTTTGTAATACTTGATGTAATACTGAAGAATTCTGTCTGAAAAACAATGTTTTATAAGGCTGTTAATGTCTGTTTAACACCATACTACGTTTTTTATATCAGTAGGCCTGCGCGATAGAAAATCATACATCACGATATTTTTGATCAATTACTTCCAACTATATTGTTGGGTTGACTATTGGCGCTTTTACAAAAATATTCCTACAATGAGATAATTGAAAAAAGTAACAATAACAGACTGGTAAATGTAGAACATGATTCCTTAATGCAGCCTTTATAATATCCAACACTACGAGGAAGTGTGAAGTATCTCATCTCATATCACGATATCAAAATAACATCGATATTGTCCAACCTCATCTAAAAAACTCATCAACAAGTAAACTAACATCTAATTCACGAAGAGCAGAGACGGCCAAAGTACACACTTCCTTTACTCCAGAAGTACAGATACTCTTGTTTAAAAATACTCTGGTGAAAGTAGAAGTACTGACTAAACTTCTTTACTCAAGTCAAAGTAAAGAGGCTTTGAAATGTACTTCAGTAAAAAGTACCCATAACTAGCAGCTGTTTTAAAGAGTACCTGACCTCCCTTTATATTAATAGAACAATAATGTCATCAGGGGCGCCGCCAGGGATTTTGGGCCCCATGAAAATATATCACATTGGCCCCTCCACCAGGCCCAGGCCACGCCAACCAAGCACAATGCTAACCACACCTCCAGAACCCAACCCACTCATGTATGCTTTAAATAACTACCTGTACAGGCTTGCTTCTATCTTGTAGTCCAATACTAACCGCACAATATTTACTGACACTGAGCTGTGAACATATAACACTGTGCAGACGTGCAACATTCTGCTGCAGTAGAATTCACTATTTGATATAACACTAACATTCCTGACAATAGATCTCAATAGTAATCTTAGTGTACATGCCTTTTTAATAACATTGTTGAATGGAACAATCATGAATCTAAATAAATATAACTTAAATATACATGACCTCTTAAATTAAAATAAAGTGAACATTAACACCAATATTATCATTTATAAAATGCTATAACAAAAAAAATAACATAAGCAGCAGATTTTTTAATTAAATATACCAACTACAAAATAAACGGGTATTAAAGTGTAAACGGACAACAAAACGGAAATGGAAGTGAAAAGGCCTGATGGTGGTGCTAAATCAGAGCCTATCACCTGTTCTCAGTCTTGTTCTCATCATGCATCTTGTGTGTAGTGATCCAATATCGTTACCATAGCCTCGCCCTTTAACAGTTATCACGAGCCCTGGCTCAGCCTTACTCACCAAGAGCCCAGCGCCTAGCCTTCTTACAGGCAAAGTCCTTGAAGTCCAGCTTTCTAGCCAACTGGCTTTCAATGGACAGCATGGCAAGACTGCAAAGCCTTATGGGGGGACAGGGCTGCTGAGCCTAAAGATGGATCTGTTGGTCCTGGCACCAGGGGGAGGGACAACTGATTTAGTATGAATAGCTGCTAAAAATGTACCTGCATTTATTAAATGTCAGCTAAAAGAGGAGTGAAATTAAAAACCTCTGCATTTTCTGTGAAGATATTAACAGTACTTAAAGGTGGGGTAGGTAAGTTTGAGAAACCAGCTCGAGTGCGCTAGAATTTGAAAATCCACAACCGGAAAACATCTGCCACTTCCTTACAGAGCCCCTCCTCCAACACACACGAACGCGCACATGACCAATGAGGGCACGAGATAAGTTAGTGCACAGATGGAAGGCTGACAGGCAGGTAGGCCATCCAGTTACTTTAGCCGGCTCAGATGATTGGTGCTTTTTACAGCGCCACGGCTTCCAGAGGTGATTTGTTGTATGGATTTTTTGTCAAAGCACTTCAGATATTCATCGGGATGTTAAGAGCATTCCATGGAATATAACAAAAAGAGTATTTCGAGCCGGTTTCTCAAACTTACCTACCCCACTTTTAATGTCAGCAAAACATTACAATTATTATTTACAATGGACTACGCTTAGCTAACAGACTAATTTCCACCACTCATGGACCACACCCACCTTTTCTTTTGAAAAACTGGGTGACATACTGTCGCCGTTTAGTCCCTCTCTCTTTCTCTCCTTTCTCTTTCTTGAAAGCCTGACTTTGTTAGTCGTTGAGACATCGTACACACGTAAGTACTAGCATCCCTGCTCACATGCTCTCACTCTCTGCTAGAAAGGCAGGACCAAACCATTACATGTAAATAGAGGGGGTGTACAGAGGCTTTGGATAATTCACTTTTGGAAGAAAATAAGTTAAATGAATCGTACGTTTAGTGATTACATTATCAATGTAGCGTTATATTAATGTTAATTATTGATGATTGATGAAAGGTTACTTAAACATTTGTTCTTAATGTTCTAAAAATGTTTGGGGCCACTGTCAGTCACGGGCCCTTAGAATCATCCTAACTTTTCACCCCCTTACGGTGGCCCTGAATAGGCGCATTCACACTGCGGTACTTTTCCCACAAAGGTTCATGTGAACTCTTTTATCGCGTTCACACCAAAAAGAGCCGGTACTAAAATTAGTTCATGAGAACCTTTTTACCCCCTCGAAAGTCCCTGCTAGAGAGCAGAGAGCTGCTAGAGAGCAGGGACTTTCGAGCGGCTCTCTTGTGAGAAAAGAGCTATATTTCTGATTGGCTGGGCGGATTGCAAACCACGCCCCGTAAAACTCCCAAAAAGTTTTGTGAAGCCGCCATTTTATTATCCTCGCATTAACATTATTAGCATTAGCATTAGCCCAGCGCAGAAACGCAGAGAGACTAACTTATGGCAACACAAAATAAAACATGGGAGCGGTGGAGATGAGGAGGTGTCGGCGTTCTGGCGATTTACTCGGAAGGCTTCAGTAGAAGCTGCTGGGAGTCCCAGCAGCTTCTACTGAAGCCAGTCCCCAACTCCGGGGACTTCCGGCCGGGGACTTTGGGCGGCAGTATACGCCGTGAAGTGGTTTGCGGCCTGCCAGTAAACCCAAAGCAGAAGAAGAAGAAGTGACGTCAGCGGCTTCATTTGCCTAATCCTCCCCCAGGGACTTATTCCAGTGTGAACGCGATCTGTACTTAGTTCATGAGAACTAAAGAGTTCTCATGAACTAAGTTCACATGAACCTTTGTGGGAAAAGTACCGCAGTGTGAATGCGCCTAATGTCATTGTTAGCTAATGAATGTTTCCATGTTGAACAACAGCAACATGACAACGTTTCCATTGGTCCCTCTTCTTTAGAGAAGAGCAGGAAATGATGGATACACGGATCGTGTTCAAATCAATAGGCACGCAATGACTCTAAAGAATAATGATCACGCATCAAACACACATTCAGACTAAAGGAACCAGCTGTTTGGGAAATGAGAGAAGTAGAAAGTACAGGTATTTGTGTTCAACATGTAAGAAGTAGAAAGTACAGGTATTTGAGTTCAACATGTGAGAAGTAGAAAGTACAGGTATTTGTGTTCAACATGTAAGAAGTAGAAAGTACAGGTATTTGAGTTCAACATGTGAGAAGTAGAAAGTACAGGTATTTGAGTTCAACATGTAAGAAGTAGAAAGTACAGGTATTTGGGTTCAACATGTGAGAAGTAGAAAGTACAGGTATTTGTGTTCAACATGTAAGAAGTAGAAAGTACAGGTATTTGTGTTCAACATGTAAGAAGTAGAAAGTACAGGTATTTGAGTTCAACATGTAAGAAGTAGAAAGTACAGGTATTTGAGTTCAACATGTAAGAAGTCAAAGTAAAAAGTCGTCAGAAAAATAAGTAGTGGAGTAAAGTATACCAGAAAACATGTACTTAAGAACAGCAACAAAGTATTTGTACTCCACTACTTCCCACCTCTGACGAAGAGTCAGTCACTTCCAGTTTGTACCCCACCCCCCCCCCCCCCCCCCTCCCCCTCTTTTATCTCACCTCCAGGTAGGGGATGATCCTGCACGAGAGCTCCCCCAGCAGCCAGTTCTTGGTGAGCTCGTGGAAGAGCACGAGCGGCAGGCAGAAGAAGATGATGATGAAGTCCCAGAGCGCGAGGTTGGCCAGCAGCGAGTTGGAGATGCTCCTCATGTAGTAGTTGTGACACACGATGCACATCAGAGACACGTTCCCGATGATGCCCACGCTGAAGATGAGCGCGGAGAAGATCAGGATCGCGTACGCGCCGCACGCCTCCGCGGTCACCGGGTAGAAAGGGTTCTTCAGCTGCTTCCGGTGCGTGCGTGGGTTCCCCGGAATGGTGTCGGGATAGTCCGGCACAGAATACTCTTCCTCCTCTTCCTCCACCTCATAGTCCGTGGAGTTTAAGGGGTGTTCAGCCTCTTGCGCCATGGAGGCTTCGTCCGCGTCACTTCGCTTCCTTCTGCCGCGTTTCGCGCTTCGCTTCTGCCGAAAAGTGTGTCCATGTTGGTTTTTTTCAAGAACTTCTCCCGGTTTGCATCCATTACTCACAGCAGGCGTCTTTATAGCCGTGTGTAAAGCTTCCCGTTCGGGTAAGATGTGCTGCGATCCGTATTGCGCGTCGCTTTTACGCACCTGTGATCCAAACGGCACAGAGGGTGACCGCCTGTGCCGCCTGTTGTGTCCAATCCTTGTCAAGTTACAAGTGCTTCCATGTTTTTTTCCAATCACTTCTCCCTGTTTGCACCCACTACTCTCACTGGGTTTGTTTATATCCGTGCGTAAAGCTTCGTGAACACGCTTTCCGTTTTGCGCGTCACTTTTACGCACAGCGCGCCCGGGTGTCTGTGTCCCCAGCAGCTCAGAGGGTGACAGATTTACAGTCTCCAGCTCCGAGGGCTCTGCACCGCCCGTCCTCTCATTGTCCTCCCCGGTTACTGTGCGCCATCTCCGGCTCTGCGCACTCCTCTCAGCGGCGGTGGATGTAAAGTGAGGGTTGAAACTCGCCTTTGTTTGGTGGATCTGAGTCGCGAAGGCCGCGCTGCACAGCCACAAACACAGAAACCCCGAAAATGGAAGCAGCATCGTGTGATTCTGTCTAACCCGTAACATCAAACTGGTTCCAAAATGATCGATCCATCTCTGGTTTTTGACAAAAAAAAGCGAAAATATCAACTTGAACTGCGATCAGTTTTCCTTCATCTTTGCGCGTAAAAAGCTTCCACTAACTCTTTGGTGGTGTATCAGAGGTGCACCTGTTTGGTTTGGGTGCGTCCCGGAGCAGCTCCAGTCTGGAGGCATCACCAAAGAGACCAGAGCGGAATAGTTTCCTCAAACTGGGTGGGAAAAAAGTTAACTGACCGTTCAGATCCTCCGTAGCTAAAAGGTGTTGAATGAACCCGGGGAAAGTCCACCTTCGTCCCGGGAGGATTCTGTGAGAACAGCCGCTCCTGAGCGCTCAGAGGCCGGGGAGAGAGAGGGGAAATGCGGCCAGTGCAGACCCCGAGCTCCGTGTGAGAGAAAAGAGGAACAGAGAGGAGGAGGAGAACAAAGGGGGGAGGGAGGGGGAGGAAGAGGAGGGGGTCATCTGTCAAACCTCTGATCCGATTATTAACTGCTCAAATAACACACAGAGTTCATCTGGGATATCATGTGGGAATTACTTTCAAAATCAGCATTATTTTTGGTTTTATGTCAAAGACAAAGTTATTTTGGGCAATTTTGATAAAGTCACACTGATATCAATTAGCAGTGTTAAACATTACAATTGACCATTTTAAAACAATACATTTTGTAGTGTTGAGTATCTTCATCATGCAGCATTATTACCTTTACTGATCAGGAACTTAGAAACATGTCAACTGATCTAACGCTTTTAAATAATACAACAAACAAAAAGACAAATACCGAAAAATATTTCTTTCAGATAAACCTTTTTCCTACTTGCATTTTTTATACAATAACTAAGAAATGGTTATTACAGTGACAGCTATCGATACTTAAAGAATACAGTAAAATATTACTTCCTATTATTGGACATAGACTAACTTTATACAACGAACACAAAACCCCACACATTTCTAAATAACTGTGAAGCAGTACATTGTGATCTTTGTTAAAAATGCCTTTTAAGTTTTGGGAATAGTTCTAGCAATACGTAAAAAATGCCAGTGATGAAATGTTATCTGGGTTTCTCTTGTGTTTAAAGGCAAGATCATTGAATTCATTGTGAGTATAGGCTTTGGTGCCATCTAGCGTAAACTCTGGGTATTACACCAGCCTGAGAAACTCATGAAAAGTGAACTCTAGATATCCGTGGTTCCTCACAGGACAAAGCTACAACCATTTGATGATTTTATGGAATATGATGCATAACTGTAAATTAAACTAGCCGACAGAATGTAAAGCACGAGCAACAACTTAAAGCAGGAGAAAAATGCTGAAAAAATATCTGAAAAATATGCCAATAAAGTCTGGAAATGATCTGAAAATTGAATGAAATAAATCTGAAAATTATTTGAAAAAAATCTCTAAATTTGAACGAAAATATTCTGGAAATTATATGAAAAACATCAAAAAATGTAACGAAGATTATATAAAAAATATCTGAAAATGTTACGGAAAATATCTGAAAATTATATGAAAGTTATCGAAAAATGAAACAAAAACTCTGAAAGAAATTATACAAATAAATCTGAAAATTATACGAAAAATATCTGAAAGTATACGAAATGTCTTTAAAAAAAGAAAAAATCTTTCTGAAAACTTTCTCAGATCAGAAAAACATTTCAGAAATCCTTGAAAAATAACCAAAGGAATACAAAGAATAAAAAAAAAAGAAAATTGCGTGATTTTATAGAGCACGATGCTGTGTAGACTAAACCAGCCGTAAAATGCCGCAGTAATATAGGGATGGGTACCGAGCCCCGGTATTAAACGGGCCCCGGGGCTGAATTATTAAAGACCGTGGTACCGTTAAGCTCCGACGTTATCGGTCTTTTTATCGTTACTGCCTGGAGACATTTAAAACATATATGTTGTTTGTATTATTGCTACATAAACATTATATTGCGGTCTTAGTGTCGCAAACTCCGTTTAGAGATCTCTCTCTCTCCCCCCCGTCTGTGTGCGAGGGGGCGGGGCAGTTTAAACACACACAGCTGCTACATGCATGCAACACACACACACACACGCCGGAGTGAACGCGCTCCGAGGTGTGGCTAAACTTTACCCGTCTCGATGTGAACAATGCTCGTTACCTAAAGTGCAATAAGAGTTTAGCATGTGAGGGCGGTAACACGAGCGATTTGTCTAAACATTTATCAAAAGTGCTCCACATCCAGACGGAGGAATGCACCGGGTTCCAGTCTTTCTAGCAGCTCTGCAGCTCCATCCACGAAAACGTTTCCACGTCAGGTGTTATGTATGCTAGCAGCAACACACGGAGTTAACTCCATGATACAAACATGGGTTAATGATGAGAGGTAATACTAACCCAGAAACATCAGACATCATATTAAAACACTGCAGAATTACTACATTTACTTATATTTTAAATACATTTTCTTGATAACATTTACGCAGTTTGACTTGTAGTGAATTCCTTTTCTTTCACCTCTGCATAACATGAACAACAAAAAGGGAAATGTGACAGCAGAACCAGACAAAACTGAATCTGCTCGATACAGTTTGTATTTGTGTACTTACCATCATGTGATTGCCCTCTGCAGAATATATATATTAAGGATAAGTGTTAAATAAATCATGCGTCATGTGGTCAGCTGAGCAGCAGAGGGCGCTGTGACTCCACAAAACAGTTTGATGTAAAAGAAAATGACTCTTTATTGAAACACTTTATTAAAAAACAGTTTTACACATTTTTGCAGCAACATTTATGTACAGTTTAATCCAATAAATACAAATAAACAGATAATGTAAAATACACGAATATTAAAACAGGAACAGATTTTTCTTCTGCAGGTTTTAACGACGGCCTTTAAATCAGGCGGGGTTAGTGTTGGGAGGCGCTGACGGTCGGGTGAAGGTGCTGTGGCTGATCTGGTAGCAGATTTGGTTCAGACCATCGTCCTCCACACTTTGGTACTTTGTCAGACAAAGATCCATCCATGGACGCTCGGCTGAGGGAACAGAACATCGATATGAAACACCTGGACTCTCTACTTTGGTTACTAAAACCCTTTGTGAACACAGTCAGAAATACACTACAATTATACAGCTTCGTACAATTAACGTTTTTCGACTGTAAGTGTAAATATGCACATTGACCATTTTATCTCGTTGCACTGTCATCGCTACTACCTCTGCTTTTACCACTCTTATTTATTTATTTGTGTCTATTTTTTACTGCAGTGAGAGTTGCCAAAGAAATGTCGTTGTACTTTGTATGATGACAATAAAGATATATTCTATTCTATTACAGAAAAACTGATTTATGCTCGTGGTGGTGAACAGGTTCAACCAGGGGCGGACTGGGACTACAAATCAGCCCGGGACTCTCGACCGGCCCACTCCGGGACCGCCGGCCCACTCCGGTACCGCTAGTACATTTTCAACGGGGGGGGGCTTATCCGACAGGCCCACCTTGGTGCCGCAAGTAAATACCGTTAGTAAATGTATCCGACCGGCCCACTTCAGTACCGGCCCATCGTGACTCGTCCCGAACGTCCCGATGGCCAGTGCGCCCCTGGGTTCAACCAACGATTGACTTTGACTCCTTCTTTAAAAAGGTACAGGAAACTCAAAACAGTGCATGTGTTGCTTCATGGGAAACTTTACCTACAAGGTTCACGTTTGTAAATCAATAATTCACTCTGTGTTAAATTGCATTATTGAAGAAAGTGTCTTTTTTTCTCAAATATCGGGAAATGATAGGAAAAATATCGGGAAATGATATTATATGAAAAGGATGAAAGCCCATCAGCAAACTTCCTGTAGTTAGCTAACGTCACTTGACATTTTTATTTTCTTATTTTAGGAGAGAACCAAACCAGTTGCTGATCCAACTGGCTCCGGTTTATACTTTGATTATGTTTACGATGCACTTCCTGTCATATGTATTCCTCCCTATTCCACGAAAGGCTGATCTGTGTATCTACTCGTCTAAATAAGCAGATGTAACAGCCAGTAACTCGTGTATAATGTCAGTGAAGTGGCTGCAGGACTTTCATCTATTTTCCCCAGCTGTTTGAATGAATGTAATGTACAGGGTTCATCTCATGGATGTATAATAAGAACTGGATACAGCGTGGGAGGCGGAGCCTCATTGAGCTGCTCATTGGCGCATGAAGACAAAATGGCCCAACTTTTGAGAGAGCGAAACGTCACGAAAGTATTCATATAATCCGTTCTTATTGTGCATCCATGGGTAAAGATAAACTCATGTAGTGCTGAACACGTCACATGAACGTGCCGGGCGGCGCAGTCCCGTGGGTTAGATCCGCGTTCATAATGCAGAGGGAAATAACTCTCAGAATAACGTTATTAGCACATTTTACAACTTGAGGACCGAATGTTTTTAATAAGGGCTATACAAACGTTCATACTGGGTAGTTTATTTAGTTTAAAAAAAATTATCCAACGATTTACAGACCACTCTTAGGCGCATTCACACCGCAGTACTTTTCCCACAAAGGTTCATGAGAACTCTTTAGTTCTCATGAACTAAGTACAGATCGCGTTCACACCGGAATAAATCCCTGGGGGAGGATTAGGCAAATTAAGCCGCTGACGTCACTTCTTCTTCTTCTGCTTTGGGTTTACTGGCAGGCCGCAAACCACTTCACGGCGTATACTGCCGCCCGAAGTCCCCGGCCGGAAGTCCCCGGAGTTGGGGACTGGCTTCAGTAGAAGCTGCTGGGACTCCCAGCAGCTTCTACTGAAGCCTTCCGAGTACATCGCCAGAACGCCGACACCTCCTCATCTCCACCGCTCCCATGTTTTATTTTGTGTTGCCATAAGTTAGTCTCTCTGCGTTTCTGCGCTGGGCTAATGCTAATGCTAATAATGCTAATGCGAGGATAATAAAATGGCGGCATCACAAAACTTTTTGGGAGTTTTACGGGGCGTGGTTTGCAATCCGCCCAGCCAATCAGAAATATAGCTCTTTTCTCACAAGAGAGCCGCACGAAAGTCCCAGCTCTCTAGCAGGGACTTTCGTGGGGGTAAAAAGGTTCACATGAACTAATTTTAGTACCGGCTCTTTTTGGTGTGAACGCGACAAAAGAGTTCTCATGAACTAAGTTCACATGAACCTTTGTGGGAAAAGTACTGCGGTGTGAATGCGCCTAATGTAAGTCAATGGGAAAAAGTGTTTCCGGGCCCAGCAACCGGAAAGTGTAGTACCGCCGTTTGGCCACAACGAATATTTTCCTCAGAGTCCGGCGCACTTCCTGGGGGCTTGGTTCATACACTTTTTCACCAATGATTTTCAATGACTTCTCCAGGACCTTTACCTAATTTTCCATGACCAAAGAAATGACTCTTTCTCAGCGGTTCCACTGAAAATGGTTTATTTGAACATGGAAAAGGAAATAAGGTCTGCATATGAAACATGTTGTGCCTATCTAAAACAAATCAACTAGAGGGCGTGATTGTAAACATCTCTCCCCAGCAAAATACCTCGACAGTTAAATGCCATTTTACATTTCCTTACTATACGATACAGTATTTATTATCATTATAGTATTACTATTTTGGCGATTAGATAAAGATATTAGATATTTGATGCAGCTTTAGTTACATTTCCTTGACTTCTCCAGGTTTTTAATGACCGTACGAACCGTGAATGTAATGTAATAATAACAGATGTACCGGTGCTGCCCCCTGCTGGACAGAGGGAGTCCATTGATTGGCTGATTATGTCCTGAGCCTCCTGATTGGCTGCTGCGTCCTCCGCTGACACGCCGAAGAACTCCTCCTGATGAGAGACAAAACATAATCATCATGATCGTCGTCATCATCATCGTCGTCATCATCGCCGTCATCACTCATTAAATATACACAACTGTTTCTGAACAGTTTCCGGTGGTTTCATCATTTGTTTTTTCCCGTTAAGATGTTTATTTGATGTCAGAACTTCAGATCTCGTGCAGAAGACTTTAGATTTCATCAAAACGTTCCTTGTTATTTTCACTGATATAAAAGCAGTCTTTGCTGTCAGTCCAAACACATCACTCCACGTATTTAGAGCCGGAGAAAACACTCCCTCATCATATCATTCCTACAAGAATCTTTTTTAATTTTAATGTGTTTTTTATTTCACTTTTTTAATTTACCTTCTATACAAACTTTATTGCACATTTTCAATTTTGTTTATTTTAATATTTATATCCTATTTTCTTTTATTGGCACACTTTTCTTTAACTTATGTTATGTTCATATAAATATTTGTGTTTATTATATCTTTTATTAAATTATTTTGGGTCATGACCGAAAGAACGAGATCGCGGATACAAGCGGCCGAGATGGGTTTTCTCCGCAGGGTGGCTGGTGTCTCCCTTGGGGATAAGGTGAGAAGTTCGGTCATCCGGGAGGGACTCGGAGTTGAGCCGCTCCTCCTTCGCGTCGAAAGGAGCCAGTTGAGGTGGTTCGGGCACTTAGTTAGGATGCCACCTGGGCGCCTCCCTAGGGAGGCACGTCCAGCTGGGAAGAGACCGAGGGGTAGACCTAGGACCAGGTGGAGGGATTATATCTCTTTGCTGGCCTGGGAGCGCCTTGGGACCCCCCAGTAAGAGCTGGTTGATGAGGGGAGAGGAACGTTTGGGGCTCTCTGCTGGAGCTGCTACCCCCGCAACCCGACCACGGATAAGCGGGAGAAGATGGATGGATGGATACTTATTTTTTAATTGTTCTTTTTATATCACATTTTTTATTTAACTTGTGTTTTTATAAATATTTGTATTCCTTTTATTTCATTTAATCTTTTATTGTACATTTTTATTAACTTCTTTCATTAACATAAATACTTTTACTGTAACTTTGTTTGAAATTAGCTTTTTCTTTCATATAAATCAATATTTTTATTTTATTGCACATCTTTGCTTCTCATGCATTAAAATATTTGATTCTATTTTACCTGTTACATTTTCCCCATGATAAAAAAAAGTATTTATTATCAGAGGAAATTAATTTGGTTGCACACACACAGTGACGAATAACACACACATGCCATGCAGGTCACAGTAGGTCCATATGTATATACTGTAACAGGACTGGGCAGATAAAGAGGAAAGTGGTAGTGCAGCAATCACGACAGAGGCAGTGTTCAAATCCAAAAAAGGCTTTATTGCTATCAAACTCCAAAAATACCTTCCATTAAACAAAGGCTAACGTAGCCGGGCCGCTAACCGACTTACCAGCTTACAAAAAACGTTTCCTCACACTGGGAGCCTCCTGCTCCCTCCATGTGCCACACGCAACTGAGCAACTCTGTGTGCTTTGTCTCCCTTGAGGGAGTGATTAGCACCAGGTGTGAGGTCTCCACACCTGCTCCCAATACTGCTAATTGGAAGAGGGTGAAGCCACCTGTTGGGAATGTAGGTGCCTCCCACTACCCTGCCTCTCAGCCCCTTACAATACATTAAGGGTGCGTTCACACCAGCCTTTTAGAGTCCGGTTGAAACGAACCCTGGTGCGTTTAGCGGCTTGGTGCGGTTCATTTGGGTCGGTGTGAACGCAGTCCGAGACCTCTGAAGTGAACCAAACAACCGGACTGCTAAAATAGGTGGTCTCGGAACGCTTGCTTGCGAACTCTGGAGCGGTTCATCGCTGGTGTGAACGCAGTCCGCACCGAAACATAGGAAGTGTAGTATTTACGTGTCACAAGAACGCGATGTCTTCAAAATCTCTAGCGAAAGAGTGAAGCAGGATGAAGAGTTGAACAGTGTCGTGTAAAGTAAAAATGCTCCGCCAACTACATAAAAGTAAGAACACTGTCGTCGGTGAAACCTCCTCCTGACTGCAGAACGTCTCTCATTATATGTGTTATAATGTTTTTTAACGGACGTTGTCTGATTATAATCATATGCGCGGGCCGCTAGAGTCTGTTGATCTCCAGATTAACAGCTGCATGAGAATAACCTGCCGAAAGTGCCGATACTCCATGGCGGAGGCTCCGGTAGAAATTGCCGGGATTTGCGTGTTTACCCCCTTAATGTCTGACCAATGGGTGAACAGCATTTCCGTGCACATGACTTGTGTTTAAAGTTTATAGTCCGTTTGAGTTTTGCCGTGTGAACGCAAACCGAACCTTCTGAAAAATGAAACCATGTAACAAACTGTGACCTGGGGCCTCGTTTATAACGCCGTGCGTAGGATTCTCGTGGGAAGGTTGCTTACGTAGTACAAAGCAAAAAAATAGTTACAGAAATGTTCCGACATTTTCCGATTCACCAAACATTGCGTACCGGCGAGGAAAGTTCGTACGCCACTTCCTACGCCGGTTTCCCTTTATAAATCACAATCGACTCAAAATGCGGAGCAGCTTTTGCGGGCTTCACGTAACGCCCATATTTGCCTATAAATAGTCAAAGAAACGCCCATTCCTTCATTCATTCTGACTGACTGCATGAAGAAGATCGCAGGAAATGACGACAGAACAGCTCAAACAGACGTCTCACACCGTGTCAGATTCTGGTTCTTTTGGGGAGGTCGAGATAAATCATATTGTTTGGTGGATGCAGTTTGAACCAGAGCAGCAGCATGGAGGTCGGATCGTCACCAAAATAAATAAATAAGTGGTCCGAAAAAGGTTAATGACAAAAACATACACATAGCCAAACCTTCCTCAGGCAGTGTGTTTGCGCCGGGGACAGGAGACCCCCCCCCTGATGAGAGACTGTAAGAAATGATCGGGGAATCCCTCCGGTGTGGAGTCATGACGACTGGATCTGAATTATGTTTTTGTATTTGGTGGTTTGTGTCCCAGCTGTCGATCAGCTGTGCGCAGCGTCTCCACAGCAGCCTGTGTGTCTCAACAACCCCCCCCCCCCCCCTCCCTGCAGCAACCCTATATCCACCAGTTAAAGGAAATACAACTAATGTGTTGTGTTATATTAGCTGTACAATTGACCACATGGTGTTCTTAGTTTCCATACCTCCTGTGTTTTACGAGCGACTTATCAAGTCTTGGCAAACGGCATAAAACACGATTAAACGTGATAGTATATAAAACCATGCTCGTATCTACAACCATAGAAATGCAACACGGCGTCAGTTTAGACGTAATTCTGTCCTCCTGCTTACCGCATCATTTATGAGAAAACATTTCATATCATTAACACAACATATTCCAGGTGGTTTTAAATAACATATCCGTATTTATTTATTCCTCCAGGTGATGTGTGTGTGTGCGCTGAGGAGTCTCAAACAGGCGTTTGTTTAATCATTTTAAGATTGGCTTTAATCAATGTGTGAACATGAATTCTTCATATCTGATGAATGAGAGGTAACATTTTATTTATGGTATTATTTCCACATATTTCTCTCCATTCTTTCCTTCTGCCAACGCGGTGTCGCAGTTTCTCGTCTCTCCCGTGTTTGTGCTTAGTGCGTACGCATGGGTTAGAGTTTGCGTGGAGGACCGCACGTTTTCCCGTCAAGTTAGTATTTTATAAATCGCAAACATTGCGTAGAAACTGGCGTACGCCATTTCTTGAGCGTATGTCCCTTTATAAATGAGGCCCCTGGTGCGCACCAGAGAAGCGGACTATTAGGTGTGAATGCACCCTACGACACACAGCAGTAACTTTTAATCTCTCCTCCTCATGATCTAATCTCCTCTGATCCTGAGTCAGCAGCTTTTTAAACGGGGTGTAACTCACGGCGTTTCTCCACAGGAAGACGTGCAGCGAGTCGGAAACGTCCTGCAGCTCGAGCTTCATCAGGAGGACGAAATGCAGCGGGACCACGCCCAGAGCTGAGGAACCAGAGGAGACGTTAAAACACACACACACACATCTGTGAGGAGCAAAGCTAACAGACCTGAGATCAGCCTAAAACAAACGGCTGAGTCAGGAGGACGACTACAAGTTTGAGTGAAAGAGCGAGGAGTTCAGAAACTAAAGAAAGATTCAAGTCTTGGCTGAAAATCCTCTAGATTTCCTTTTACATTTCTCTCTCTCACCTTCTGCGATGATCTTCTCATCCAGTATTTTGCCTTCTCCTGCACACACAGGTTCCCTCACCGCAGCCTCAGAGCATCGCTCACACCTGAAACACACAGGACACATCAAGAGGACCGGAGCTTTTCGGGGCTAATGCTCATTGTAAGAGCCATTTTAATGACTTCATGTTTGGGTGTTATTCACTGTGTGTGCCATAGGCTGTCCGATTCCATATGGCATAGGGTCACCATTATGCAAAATCCACTTGTTCATGTCTCTGCTACATCAACATGTGTCCCCTCTTCTTCATGTCTCTTCTACATCAACATGTGTCCCCTCTTCTTCATGTCTCTTCTACATCAACATGTGTCCCTCTCATGTCTACATCAACATGTGTCCCCTCTTCTTCATGTCTCTTCTACATCAACATGTGTCCCCTCTTCTTCATGTCTCTTCTACATCAACATGTGTCCCCTCTTCTTCATGTCTCTTCTACATCAACATGTGTCCCCTCTTCTTCATGTCTCTTCTACATCAACATGTGTCCCCTCTTCTTCATGTCTCTTCTACATCAACATGTGTCCCCTCTTCTTCCATGTCTCTTCTACATCAACA